GTGTATATTAATTTTCGGCATGAGTAAATCTGGAATATGATCAAGTATGAATCTAAATCTTGTGAAAAGAGGAAAAACCATCACTCAATGAGGTAATTTTCATCGTAACATCAGAAGAAAGTAGGAGGAGGATCATGCTCGAATCTCGCTCTACTAATAGTTCAACCCTAATCTCACGAAGTTCTAGACCTGTCAACAATCAAATAAAGCCAGTTACCCTAAGACTACAATTTTAGGAGCCAATAATAGGGATAATTTTTGGTGTATCTTTTGTAAAAATTCCACACACACCAGAGATGAGTGTTGGAAACTTCATGGCAAGCTCAGTACATGCAACAAAGAATGAAAATACAAAAATACCCCGCAGAAGATTCTTGAATAGATTTATATATCTAACTAACAGGAAGAAGAAACAATTACCGATGTCACTGCTTTTAAAGGTGAAATTAAATGACTACGAAGTTAATTGGAGAACCTTGAGAAACCTACGAATACAAGTGTAATAAAATACTCAGGTACGCTTTCTTCTTTACACAGTATGAATGCCTCAAATAAACTCTTTGAAAATTTCTGGATTGTACACTGAGGAACCATGATCATATGACAAATACTTATGAACTTATTAGTACGTATGTTCTCTGTCCAAATAACAAGAAGATTGTCATTACATATGGTTCTATGAACATTTAGCATATTTAGAAAGTGTGTTAATGTTTTTAAATTGTGCTTTCATCTTGTATCAGTTAGTAAATTATCACTAGAGTTGAATTGTAAAATAACATTTCATGCGTTTCATTGTGATTTTCGGGACTATAAATCAAGAAAGATGATTGGAAGTGCTGTGTTCAGACATGGATTCCTGTCTGAATTCTACTACTTGGATACACCAGAAAGAACCTTCTCGTTCATCATCATCGACTCCCATAGAAAATTTTTTTACCATAAGAGACTTGGGCATCCATCCATCTCCATTTTAAAGATTAGTTTTACTTTATTGTTTACAAATTTAGAATATGGAAATTTACACTATCATATCTGTGAATCTGCAAAATATAAGCATACAATATTTCATATTAGTGATAACAAAAGTTCAATTCTTTTTCCATTAATTCATAGTGATTTTAGGGACCATTTGACACAACTAATATTTTTGGGACTCGATGGTTTGTATCACTTATTGATGATTGCACTAGAATCACATGGTTATTTTTCCTCAAAGTTAAATTTGATAGTCATATCATACCCCGGTTTTACAATATGGTAAAAACCGAATTTGGAATATCCATAAAAAATCCTGTATTGATAATGTTAAGAATTTTTTTAATAATACACTTTCATCATCCTTCCATTAAGAAGGAAGTCTTCGTGAATCATTATGTGTCCACATTTTGCAATACGATGGAGGAGCAGAACGCATGAATAAATTTAACCTCCATAAGAGCTTATTTTCCAAAACAACATCCAAAAATAATATGAGGTGAAACCATCCTTATTGCCACCTACATTATTAATTGTATGCTTACAAGTGTTCTTGATTTTAAAAGTTCTCTTAAAACATTTCAATAGTTTTATCTAACAATAAGTGTTACAAACTATCAGGTCGCTCGAATATTTATATGTGTTGCCTTTCTTCATATTCATTCCCATAAAAAAGGTAAATTGAATTGATGGGTCCTGAAATATGTATGTGTAGGATACTCAACTCAAAAGGGTTACAAATGTTACCATTCCACCAACTTAAAAGGTGTATGTGTTTTGTGGACATCATATTTATTTAATAAGAATCCCTATTTTACCTAACTTTATCTTTCAGGGGGAACTTATATTGGATGACAAGAAATACAAAAATTTTCAATAAACTTTTTATTTCAAAAAAAGAATTTCAATAGATTTTTAACCTATCAATTTTGTCACACACCTCAAAATCATCACCACGAGAAGATTTAGAATCTACCAAAAAATTCATCATCACAAGAGAACATCCAAAACTAACTCGAAAATTCATCACCACAAGATAACCTTCAAACTTTGTCCTCTCAAGAGATTACACTCTGTTGATCAAACATTCAAAAACATGGGAAGTTACAACTCTTCAAATATGTGTTGATGACGTTATTGTAACAAAAAGCAATGAAAAAAAATAATTAATACTAAAATAGTGCCTAACAAAAAAATTTAAAATTAAGAAACTAGGCAAATTGAAGTATTTTTTGGGAATTGAAGTTTCCCGTCCAAAATATGAGATTTTTGTTTTTCAAAATAAGATATATTCATCACCTGTTAAAGGATACTGGCAAACTAGCATGTAAACCAGGTAAGACACTTACCTAATAAAAAACTAGGAATGACAGAGGAAGATACACCAATAAATAAGAAAATGTATCAAAGATTAGTAGGAAAACTGATTTATTTATCCCACACGAGATCAGATGTCACTTACGCGGTAAGTATTATAAGTCAATACAGAGAACTATACTTATAAGCAGCTTACATACTATCGCAATACTTACACTAGGGAAATGAATTATGTTAAAAACGAATGACAAATTGCTCCTAAAAGCCTTTAGTGATGCAAATTATGCAGGGTTGATTATGGACAGAAGATCTACTTCAAGTTACTCTATCTTCCTGGTTGACAACCTAATCACTTGGAGAATTAAGAAACAAACATAGTTGCGAGATCAAGTGTGGAATCAGAGTTCAGGGCGATGACACAAGGGGTATGCAAATTATTATGGATAGAAAGAATTTTAAAAGATCTTAGAATCGAGTGGGAAAATATCATGTGCCTATACTGTGACAATAAGTTGGTTATAGGTATTACTCACAATTCGGTACAACACGATTGAACCAAACACATTAAGATTAACAGATATTTTATAAAAAAAACTTGACAGCGATCTAATATGTTTGCCATACTTGCCTGCCAATTTGAGGAGAAGTGTTAATTAAAGGTGTAAGTAACCCAATATTTCAAACTCTTATTGCCAAACTGAGAGTGGACAACATTTATTTCTCAGCTGGAGGAGAAGTATTAAAGAGAAAGTAAATTATGATGTTAAAAAGAAAATAAATAAGGATGTTAGAGAGGAAGTAAATCAGGATGTTACGGAGGAAGAAAATCAGGTTAAAAAGTAAAATTACATCATTTGTAGTTAATTTTAATTAATTATCTATCTTTTTTTTCTCTTTGGAAAACTTGTATGTATAATATTGTAATATTCAGTGAAATATACATCAATAGGAAGACCATTCTTAATATAATCATTATTCTTGTTAAATGACTTTTGGATCTTCTAATAATTTTTTTTTTATAAATCTACAGTTATCTTTTTTTTCTTTGAGAAGAAAAAGAGAATGCATTAAATGGAACAAGAGGGTGCAACCCATGCACAAAGTGAGAACATTTTTAAACTTGCAACATATCTCTCAAATCCTTTGCCAAAATGAACATCTACCCCTCGAACCGGGTTTTGGTGAGGGAGGTTTGATGGTGGGGAAACAAAGGGTTTAAAACCATATATCATGAGCTCTATTACGAGAAGAATAAACATGCTCAAAATTTTTCTCTTCCTCTCGTTTCAAAGAACCCATATACTAGCAAGAGGGCTAATGTAGAGATAATGTTGGGAGTTGGTGAATAAACCGTTTTTTTTAATGAATTATCAGCATGTGATATTTTTAAACAGCTTTCTTTGGGAAAAAGGGTATCCTTGAACAACTACAGAGAATTACTTAAGACTGCATGGACAGCTAAAGTGCATAGAGATGAAGCTGGGTCCACGCAGAATAAGACTCCAGAAAGTTGGCCCAATAAGCTAAAGAGTGTTATATTCCAGTATTGATCCATTTTGTTACCAGATATGATTTTTCTATAGTAGTAGAATATGTTTCATTCTTTAGACTGAAGTATTCTCATATTTTTTAGTATATGGAGCCCTAAGGTGCTTGGCTCTTGTCTCCGGGGACTTGGATGATAAAGTGGTGCCTTCGCTAATTCCAGTTTTATTCCCCTGCTTGTATACAATTGTAGCATCCTGTCAGGTTTGTTTTCTTCTGTTTATCTGCATGTTCTTATCATTTCTATCTTTTAGAAAAATGTATATTGTGATGGTGAATATGCTGAGAATTACAAACTGTTACTTTGAAGGAGTGTTTTTGCTTTCCTCTGCTTTGCAAGAATGAGATATGGTAGTTGTATTGTACGTTGTAAGGTTGAATTTCATTTACAGTTAGGGGCCATCTGCACCTGTATTATTAACTTTCAAAGTGAATAAGTTCCTGTATTTGATAGAATGTTATGTGGGAAAATTCTCTTGCTCATTTGTTGGTTGTTTCGTCGTTGATTAGATGTTTTGGTCAAGCTAGATACCCTGTGACTTAGCACTTTGATTGCGTGGTTTCTGATATATAAATTTTTAAATTTTACATAAGAGGAATGGATGGAGTTGCAACCCCAGAATTTTTTTAGCTTTGTTGAGTTTTAGAGAGAGAAATTTTTGAACGTGAGTTTCAGTGGGGTTTTTTCTCGCCTGTGGTGATGTCTAAGTCATCTCCCACAACCACGAGTTTCCCTGTTACAGAATGGAAATCTTCTAACTTCGGACTTACTGGAAGAGTGGTTGAAAGGTTCAAGATTTGCGAGAATGGAAGAGGGTTCTGTGTGTCTATAGTGTTCTGGGGGAAGTAAGTAAGTTGGCAGGTGAGATGCTTGTAGAAATTCTATTGAGAGGAAGGAAGAGGTCGTGGGTCAGAAGCTTGGTGGGTGCTCGCCATACCTTGTGGGTGACTCTGGCCGTCCATGCTGGAGGTCTTTTTCTGATGTTGATAAAGAGATGGGGATGGTAGGGGAAGAGTGGTTATCCGAAAAGGACACCAAGCTAGAAGTTGGTGGAAAACACTTGTGTGTCCAGATGTGACCTTGTTGGAAAGCTGATAAAACCTTCAGAGTTGGGAGCTACGGGGTGAAAGTTTAAACTTTTTGCCTTTCTCGAACCTAAAATATCAATAAAATTCCTAAAATCCTTAATAAAATGAATAGAATGCCCCATAACCAAAAAATCCAGTATCTGGAGTCATCTGTCTCTTACGAAATCCTCTCAATTCCCTCAAAAGCTCTGTTATTTCTCTCATTCTACACCACTCATAAAATAGTAAGAGGAATGAGACCCACGTGATTTCTCCCAGCACTAATACCCTTCTAGGCTTAGATCTCATCTCTTATTGAGTTAGCTATTACCCAACTAATCCCCATAATCCATAAACCATTGTCCATAACTTATACGCAAGTGAGCACCAAACAGAATCTGATGACTAGATTCTGCCTCCCTCTTGCATAGGAAACAATGGTTCACCATAATCTTTCTCTTCTCATCAGTTTGCCAATAGTTAAGACACACCTACACCTTGCCTCCCACATAAAAGAAAAGTAACTCTAGGAGGAGCATTCACCTTCAATATTTGCTGAAATGGAAACCTGGGTTTTGTGACTTATTCTATTGAATGTTACATCCTTATATATACATGTCTTTTAGGACAGATAAAGAAGTAAATAATTAATTGCAATTAATTTCATAGGGTATAATTTATCTTTATATCCTTTAATCTAATTTACCATTTTTTTGACAATATGGAAGAGTATATGATGGGAAGGGCCATTCCAAAAGAGCATCAAATGGAAGGTGGGTTATAGGGAGAGAGAGTAAGCTTCTGGGTGGATGATTGGATCGAAGGGGGGTTGCTCAATATGCAGGTTGGTTCTGGGTCGAGAGAGCGAGCTTCTGTGTGGATGATTAGATGGAAGGTGGGTCACTCAGTATGCAGTATCCTAGAATTTTTGCGCTTGTGCAAAAGAAGGAGATCACTGTTAGGGAGGTGCACGTTGGATCTACTTGGACATAGAATTAGCTAGGAATTTGAGTGATTGGTTGTTGGAGAGTTTCTTGTGCCTTCGAATGCTTTGTCTCAAGTGACGGTTGCTAGGAACTTGGAGGACAATGAGGGGCTGCTGTTCATCTTCTAGGAGCTCTTTCTCGGTGCTCTTATTATCA